GTCATAAAAAGCAAAAAATTAATGTATTTTTCAATACACACTATGACCTGTGTGATCCCATAATGTTCAATTGAAAACTGCAGCCAGTACTGCACACTTAAATAACTTTTCTCCACAACATTAACTGAATATTATTAGCACAGAGTTGTTAAGGATGGATGGGGTGACTGCAGGTCACCTTGTTAAGGCCCCTGCTCAAGCAGGGCCACCAAGAGCCCATTTCCCACTACAATGTCCACATGATGAGACAGTAGTGTGGGATTTCCAGGGCACTGCTCGGTGTCTTAGTCAATCACTCCATCAGAAATACCTTAAATTGCCTCGTTTCTTCCCTAGGCCTATAGTTCTTGGTAGGTGCTTTTGGTGAAGGAAAGGCATGAGACCATTGTTTCAATACCCTGTTGTCTTTACCACTACAGACAGAGGAATAAATACAGTCTGCCTATAAAGATTAAAAGGACAATTACTGCAGTACAAAAAAATTGTGTGAAAGAGCAACTGGCCCAATGCTGTGTAACAGAAGTATTTGGGGGGAAAAAGTCTTCACAATGAGATTTGGTTACATCTGTACAATGTTAAAACTTCCTCTCATTACTCAGAGCCCACCAGAACCACCCCATTTGGCACAATCACTTAAGACCTTCTACAACTGACCAAGCCCTTTACAAAACTGCCAAACAGGCAAAGCCAATTCACAGATCGACACAAATTCACCTCCCCACTGAGGCCGTGAACCACCACATACATTAAACTAAAATTAAACTGATATGACTGTGGATAAATACATTCCTTGCATTTTTTTCCAGTAGGAAATTGACCCACATTTGGTTTGAATTAAACTCACTTATTGCACTGAAACAAATAACTAAATAGAAAGATATGAGTTCCTTTGAAGAACATGCAAATCAAATTTGGGTGATAATTAACAGCAGATAATTGAAACCTACTGTTTATTTGCACAGAACATGATGTTACTGAGCTACCTCTGGAATGGACAAACAGAGCTGTATATTCTGCTTTACACCCTGCTTCTCGTTTTTAAACCCTTTACAGAACATTGTCAACTCACCAGTGTCAAAGCTCCTGCAACCACATTAAGTAAATGAGGGGAAGGAAGAGGCAAGTGAAAATTCTCTTTTTTCTGTTCTAAAACACAACAGACCTTTAACAATTTACATCTGCTCCCTCTCCTCTTCCTCTCCATACACACAACAAAACTGGATTTCAAGATAAATCTTGCTTTTGGATTGCAGTACAAACAGGTCTGTATTTGAGTATAAGGTTTTAAGGCTCATGGTCACACCACTTGTGACATGGTTTACTTCAATCTTCAGTCTCAAATTCTTTCAATGCCTGGACCTTGGCACCAGAGCAATAAAACTACTACTAACACCTTCAAGTCTGAAAGAGCATGGCAGATAAAAAGCAAGTAAATAAATCCAGTTTTCCTTGTCATCAATAATCTCATCCTGGTATTTATTTCTACCAAACTAGCCAGGTAAGGAAGAAAATACCTTCACTCTGATTGGGGTAGATGCTAAACACATCTGCATGCAACAGCAGAGGAGGGGGGGAGTCTCTTAGCTAGAGAGTTTACAAATTTAAGGCATAAACATTATTTTCCTCCAAAAGTTATGCAAAATTTACAGAAAATAAGAGCACAGGTAAAATATGACAATATTTTTTAGGAACCTGCTTCTTAAAAATGGCTCTAAAACAAACCACGCAGCCTCTGAAGAATACTGCTGAAGAAACAGGTCTAAGTGACTTAAGGCTAAAAGTATCCAAGAACACTTTATTACTTAGTTAGGAGATTAAAATTTGATTGCCAAAGGATAAAACAAGACAAAATCAGAGTAGGCTGGTATCTCCCTTTTAGCTTTAACAAAATCAGGTGTGTTAATATTTCATTTGAAAAAAAGCAGTCCTAAACTTCCTGGGAAGTGAGATTTAACTCTTGGACTGGTTGTCAGAGGACCGAAACTGCCCTTCTGAAGAGATGAGAGTAACAATGTATTTTCATAAAGGGAATTCTAATTACTACAGATATGTTAATGTTTTATATTGTTTTCACTAAAAACTCAAAATTAATTAAATCACTGGGGGAAATTTAACCTCAAAGAAACCAGTATAGTCGCAAATAAGATTCTCTACCTGCCTGACCTCTTAGTAAAGACTTATGTTGTCAATGACTCTTATTCAGTAGCATGAAACTACCTCACCCACTCCACCATACTTCGAAACTGACTCAGTTTTTCCCAAAGTTCTTGCTCAAATTAACATCAAACCTTGCATATTAGATACGTTCTTTCACAAAGAGCTTTCCAACTGTGTGCGAGCCCATCCTTGCAACTGTTAAAGACACACAAATCCTCATCTGAGTAAAATATTCACTAAATCCATTCTTCACCCAGGTGCAAAGGAAAAAAGAGCACTGTGTTTAATATTACGTTAATTATGTTATCTAATATATAAACAGATACAATACCGTATAGCTTCCCGCATCTACAATACATCCTATGTTGTTAAAATCAAGTTTAGGTCATTTAAATCTCAGATCCCAAAAAAATCCATCACACACACACTTACTTACCTTCCTGCTCATCTCTTCCAAACCCTGGAGCCTTGTCTCCTTCAGCCTCATGTGAATTTTCTTCTCTGGACACAAGATTTCCAAGTCCCTATTCCTGAGCACTCTGTATCAAGCCTTCCACAAACACAGCAGACATTCTATTTGCCCTTGAAAACAAGAGGCCTCCAAAATCCCTGATTAATTTTGCCATGAAAGCAATGTGGAATTGTTCAACCTCAATATTATTAACTCCATGCATTTTATGCAGTTGGCCATTTGTTACACCCAGCATTGCCACGCTGAGATGAGCTGTACTAGGTTCCCAGTGATGGTGACTCCACTCCCTGGGCAGTCCATTCCAGTGATGAACAACCCCTTCAGTGAAGAAATTCCTATTATATCCAGCCTGAACATCCCCTGGCACAGCTCGAGTCTGTCTTTGTTCTGTCACTAGCTGCCTGGGAGAAGAGGTCAACCCCCACCCTGCATATGTGTGTGTGTGTACATACATACATTTACACATATATATAATATATATCTAATATGTATTAGATATAATATATATCTTTTATAGATATATAAAATACAGAAGAACCTTAAATTCTGATGCAGATAGTTTCTTCATTTATAGAATACTTCTTCCCCACAAGGTTAAGACAAACTAGAAAAAAAATAAAATGAGGTTTCTCCTCAGCACACAGCAGGGCAGTTTTAAAGGTTTTTCCTTTAACACCAAAAACATTGGTTCAGCTGGACACTCTGTGTCCTTTGTGCGTTTTCCTCCCTAGTACAGGAAGCTCCCTCAAGCTTACTTGGTGTTTACCTATTGCAACTCATTATTACACACACTTTTTTTCCATGTCCAATACGATGACCAGTTGCAAGATTAGCAGCACTTACAAATGCTAATCCATAAATCACAAAAAAACTCAGTACACCCACCACTACTCATCTGAAATCTGTACATGCATTGCATCTGTGCACCAGAGCTGCTATGAGCAGATCTTCACCAGACCTTGCTTCTTTTCTGCAGTGACTTTCTTTAACCAAGTGAGAGCTAACCGCCAGTCACAAAGACAATTCCTCCCATTTTTGAAAGCTGTCTGAAAAACATTTTTGTGAAAACTCCAAGGAAAAGTGTGTATGATTTGAAAGGAAAAATTCAAAGGCTTATAAAAAAAAAACTTACTGAAGAAGAGAAAAATTCTTCTAGGTTTTAAAAATTGTTTGCTTACCTTTCCTTGTGCCAATCTGATTCTGGCTTTTTTTTTTCCTTTGTTCAGATCCGCAAAATCATGGTGTTTTGAATTTCTTAAATCAGCTATGCATTAACAGATTTGCCCAAATCTTCATAAATTCTGCCCCATAAGTTGAATAAACAAGCCTCAGTATAAAAATGTTATTGAAAAGCAATAAAAAAAATATGCCATATTCCTAGAACATAAAGATATTCTCAGGTGAAGATACCTGCACAGTAGACTTCACATAAAATGTTTAGCATTGCAGAAAGTCTGCCTGGTGCTTCTACAGGGATATGGCAAAAAGAAAAAAAAAAAAAATTAACCCAAAGATGCTTAGCCATCCTAACCCAGAAAGAGATTAAAATAATACATAACTAATTTAATTCATTTTGTTACTGTCCGAATCCATGTGGGAAGCATTCAAACACATGTTTATTTTGTCTCATTGACAAGAAAACAAATACTAACCATGAAGATTTCTACCTTTCAACAGTGCAGGCCCTACTCCAAGATGAGAGGCAGTGCCCTTCACCAATGCTCCACTTCCACAGCCTCCAAAAATAAAGTAAGGAAGTTCCAGGTATAAGAGCTTTACTAGATCAGAGTCTCAGCATACTCTCTGAAAAATTCAATCACAGTAAGAAAAGGTTCATCACCCCTCTAATAAAAGTAGGAAGATTCACTGCACCACCTGCAATTGCAGCATCTTCCCACAAAACACCCAAACACAGGTATCTATAACCAAATGCAGCTGACGTGAGTCAAACCTGCAGAGTGGATGCAGTGGCAACTTGACTGACAAAAGCCCTCTCATCTTCCATCCCCATGAGGCACCAGGAAGATGACTCCTTTACCTTGTAAAAATACACCAGAGAAGGAGAGCATGTCTCAAGAACCTCACTGTGGCAAGACTCCTAATACCAACTTATACCATTGTCTCTCTCATAATTTGGATATTAACATTAGTGAATGCAGTCATAATGCCACATGAACCAATGCCTAATAGTGCATGCTCAGAAAGATGCATAAGGAATATGGAAAGTTGGCCTACTAAATATATTACAACAGACCTGCATGATGAGAGGAGTAAGAATATTTTGTAGTCATATTACTTAAAACTGACACCAATCATCTTTTGGAAATGTAAATATTCAACTTGGTTAAATCAAGACAATCACAGATAGACATTTTTTCCCAAATCTTTGGCTGTATTGCAATGGTTGTTTCAATTTGTAATCTCCAACTAAACATTTCCTATCCATGGATTAACAATATATTTACTGACTTGTGTCTTTTAACAGTATTTATCCAACATAACAAAATAAACTGCAATTTGTTATACTTTTTTTTTTACAAAACATTTTATAAATATTTTTACAAAATGTATACAAAGCAATTTCAAGTGAGACATACTTTACAAATGAAGGTATTTAAGCAAATAAAGTCCATACCACGCTGACAATAAGTGACACATCCTCTTTAAGTGAAGTCAGTCTGTAAGGCCTCCCTACTCTAACAGATAAATTATACCAAAATCTTCAAAATGAACATAGTTTTCTTAATTGCCAGTTTAAAATTTGTTTTAATATTAGGCAGTATTAAATAACATTGAAATCACAATGCTGATCCAGCAAAATAATGAAAACATGTTTAAAGTCATGCACATTCACAATACTTTGCTGGACTTGAGCCCATATGATTAATAAACTTTTTTTAAGCACCACAAAAATACAATTCTTTCCTTTACTGCTTCACCACGTACCAGAATTCCTTTAGAACTGAATTCAAAGGAGTGAACAACAGAACATTAACAATCTAAGATCAGTCTTACTAGGATTGTTCAAGGGCTTCCTCCCATCAGCAGTTCAGAGAAATGTGTCTGACCAAATCAACCACGATTACTTTTTGTAATTTGTCATTTTTACATCCCATTGTCCCCCCTTCCCAATGAGACCCAATAGAAGACACATAGCCTGATACTTCAGTTATGTATTTGCTGTAGAGAGGCTGGAAAGCCCACACCCATTTAGAGATGGTCAAATAAGCAAGGGGACTGATAAATGTGCAACTTCACTTCTTTTTTTCCTCAATGAAATAAAATTTAACGAGTTAACATACAGCTGTGTAACATATGTTCTCCTTCCTAAATAGTTCAGAATGGCTAAATTTCCAAAATGATAAAATAAAATATGCATCAGCATACACAGCCATAAGAATATTATTAAATCTAAAAAGGCAATAGGTGAAGACTATCTTGTCAGTTTTGCCAATAAGAAAACAACTAACTGCCTGAGAGTCTATTCTGTGGACACCCAACTAAAAATTTAAAACTGGCAATACTTATTAATATTTCTTACAACACTTGGGAATGCTGGGTTTTTACAAACATATACTTTAAAATTGGCACAATTTTTTTTAAATGGCAATTAGTAACATACAAAACCAGTACTTCCATTCACGTTGAAGGGGAAATGAATTTTAAGGAAGTTCATCATTCTCTCATTGCTTTCTAGATCTGGTTTCCTTTAGTGGTCAGACAGTGAACTGTAGCTCAATACTGAGTTGCGCTGTAATGTTCTACTATCTCAAGGATCTAATTCTGCTTCTGTCTGTGCCATTCAGATGGACTGAATTAGGCACCAGCAAAACCTTTTGGTTTCTCTCCTGGCAATCTGACTGACAACCACAGCTTGTCACAATGAGCCTCTTACATCATGAAAATCATAATGTCTGGAAAATGGCTGGTAATGTTTCTGAGAAATGGTGGAGAAGTTCTGGGGGAGAACATGAGCATACCTTAGAAACCACAAAAGCTGTATCCTCCTGAGCAGACATATGTACTACACACACGTGACAAATGTCAGCGCGCTTATGTGCACAAAAGCACTCATGACCAAAGTAAACTAGAACAAAGCAGCATGGGCAGCAAAAAAAAAGTCATAGATTAAAATAAATAAATAAAATAATAAGATTCTATCTTAACAACATGACAGCAAGCCAAATACAAACCATGCAATGGTTTCACTTGGCTTTACAATATGAATTAATAATTACACATTTTTTGATATGTTTAAACAATGGGATTGCTGATCAACTTTGGTCTGTACATATCTCGCTAACTATGACTGCTATGGTGGATGATTTAACATTCTCTGACAGCAAAAAGCAAAAAAAAAAATCAAAAATAAACACTGGCCTTTAAATTTAATCAGAGTAAGGCTAACATCCTCTTAAAATATAAGCTACAAATACAGTTTTCAAATAAAAGTGCTTTTGACACTTGGTCTAAAAAAAAAAACAAACAACAAATAAAAAAACATTTATACCACTTCAGAAAGACTCAAGGCTGACTACATCCAATTATAAAATGCAAAATCTTTTCCTCAAGAGATAACATATATATGTATTATATATATAAATTAATGGCTCTATCATGGCCTCATCCTGTACACTTTGCTATTTACTGGCTTCCATTCTACCTTCCTTAGTCAAGCATTTATTACTTCATCTCATGCCACTGTGACTAAGATCATATAATATCATCCCACAGACTAAAGTTACCCACTACAAATATATCAAGTACTAGCTTCTGCTCAGAAAGCAATAGAAAAGCACTTAAAGTTTAAATTATGAAGCCTTGTAAACACACTGATGATTTCCTTCCAACTTAAGAATCCTAGAATACAGAGTCATTAACAAAGCAAATAATCACTTCTGAATAGAGGTACAGTGGGTTTTCCAAAAAAACTAAAAATTTGATGATTTGTGGAAGAGAAGGGTAGGGGAGAATTGTTGCTTCCATCACTCTTTAAAAACACTTTCTTAATAAATATATCCTTTCAAATGACTGTGATTGTCAGTATATTACCATATTATATAGGGCCTAACAACCTGCAACCCTGTTATGTTGCAGTACTGCGCAATTATCAAAAGCACTATCATAATAATACTTGAAACAGTAAGGCCCTAACAGACTGCATTCTAACAAGGATTAACTTTACTTGGATATCTCACTGTAACCACAATGAGTATTGCTCTCAAACACAGAACAGAATCTAGTTTAGAAAGGTTAACCTTAAATGCATGTCAGGCTGTACTTGTGGTGTCATTCACATTTGCTTCTGCTAAGAGAAACATAACTTGTCCATGGTACTGTAACTATTAACACTCTAAGATACTATTTACAGCTGCTTCTAAAATAGAGTCAGTTTCTACAACACTTTCACTGTGGTCTGGAATAAATTTTTCCAGGCAGTTCTCTTGTGAAGCGATAGGTGAAAAATTAGGGAACTCTAATTCAACCGAGCCACTACTTGCCGCTTCATTCTGTGGCTGTCTCCCAGCTTTTTTAAGTTCCAAGATGTTTTTAAATGTAGTTTCTAAACTCTTACTGAGCAGTAAGTCTTGCTGGGGTTCACCAGAGCCTTTCCTGTTATCAGGATGCAAAACCTCATTCTTTGGAGAGCTCCTCAGAGTTTTGTCTTGAAGTGAATTGTTACACGTTACCTTTGAGAAAGGCTGAACTGTGTTCCTTGATATTTTATTGTGTGTTCCATGACTACCTCTAGACACAATTTTTGACAAGTCTTCAGAACTCGAAGAATTCTCAGTGGACTTGGCAAGATCTTTTCCACTCATCCTTTCTTCAGAAAGGGCCATGTATTGGCTCTCAGAAGAACAATTAGCTTTTTCAAACTTTAAAGCTTTAGTGAGGCTCTCGGATTTTTTAGTAGAAGCTTTTCCTTCTTGTGGTGTCAGAATGTTGTTAGGCACTAGAGGAAGTTTACTGTGATTTGTGGACTCTGCTGAGCTGGATTTTGGTCGGTCTCTGGCTTGGGTTTTGGTAGTCTGACTTCGAGAAGGTAATGTTTTGCTAGACTGATGGTCACTTTTGCTGGACTGTGCTTCTTCAGCTGTTTTCTCAAATTGTTTGGCAGAACAACAAAAATCGGCCTGATAACCATCTGAAAATCAAGTAGCAACATTTTACTAAAATTAGATACACATCCAAATAACTGACACTCCAACAGCGCTTCTCAGTACTGAAATTCAAATAACATCCACAGCTTACAGATCTGGGTCTTTAACTTATGCTTAAGTGTTCTGTTTTGTACAGTGCAGAAGATTAGCACTAAATTAATCAGCACACTGCTCACGTATATGCACTGCAAAACCAGATTAAGGGCACTTCCCAGCATTCTAAATATGCAAATATGGTCTCTGAAGATTAATACATTCTACAACACAACCTGTGACTATCTTTTAAAATATGCAGATCATGCAGTAGCTTTAAACAAATCATAGCTGAAATCTTACACAAATAATGTGTTTCCAGGTGCTATGTTTAACAACATCCCAGTTAAAAATATTGCCATTTAAATGGCCACAATACTCTAAGAGCAACACTTCATTAAGATGAACAAGAGTATTCATGCTTCAAATAGTGCTGCTCTTTCTGGCTGCAAGCAAACTCACAGATTCTTCCCTGCTAGAATGGAGACACTGCAGGAGTCATGACTGTTGTCACAAGAAATTCAAACATTTCTCTGCCAAACAGGTAGAACCCTTTTTTTCCCCTCAAATAACTGCTTCAACCCTACAGTGTCTCTGGACTGTTGAATCCTGGAGTTATGAAAGTTATCTTGCAAATGCTTATTCAGTATTTCAATAACTGGAATCCACAGCAAACAGTGCCTTACTGTGGCCACAACTATTCTTAAACACTCCACACTTAATTTAAAAGTTAAGCATTACTTACCAGGATCCACAAGTGCAAGACGCTTATCCCGGGTAAGAGATGCTCTTTCCTCCTGGTTAAACATCCTATCAATCATAACCATTTCTGCAGAGGGATTTATCCTCTGGAGGAAAAGAAAAAAAATAACCAATCTCTTTAGTGACCCGTATCTTGGTACCAAATCAAAACATTGATAGCTTAGATAATTTTCAGAGAAAAAGAATTTTATTATGTATTTGTGAAGAACACTCAAAATTCAAGTCTTGACTCTGATCCAACCACTACTGAAACTCCATCATGAAATATTACTCATATTGTACTTCAAATTTTATTTGAGAAAAGCTTTAAAACAGAGAATTGCTATTCCAGTTGCACGAATTGTACTTTTTCAGGACTGAGTATGCTTACTACTGTATACCACATTTTTTTTACTTCATACAGTATCCTTCTCTTTTAGGGAATCAACCAGCAAAAATCTTGAACTGGGACTACCCTATCATCTGCCCTGCACTTCTCTCCCATCCTTGTAACTAGCTGGTGCAGAGCTGCATTTTGCTGACAATGCCTCCAAGCCAGCTGGATCCATTCATGACAGAAAACGTTCACTGCACTAGGCCATAACACAGGCAACTAGTTTCAAACCTGAATGCTTTGTGAAATAAACCTTTAAAATTACTAAATGGGATTTGCCACACAACATGCCAGATGCTAAAAGAACAAATCTCAACCTCCACCCTCTCTTTGCACCTGCAAATACTTGCAAATATTTCATGGCTAGGATTTTTTACAATGCAACTGCTAATTTTAAAACTATATTAATTCTAACACTTATATATTATATTATAGTCTCTAAATATCTATTATATGCAAATTCAAAACTTTCCCGGCTTGAAAACTAGCAAGTCTGAAGTCACAATGGCATTTCCTGATCCTTCTAAAATACATTCTTAAAGTTACTTTGCCAGTTTTATTTTATCTCATACTTGGGATTGTGAAAGCACTTAGATTTCTGATGAAGTTCGACCTAGCTTTTAAGGACAATGATTTCCTAAAACACAATATGATTTAATTATGTTTTATAATAATATAAATTATATTATAATATGGCTGGAGGCCTCTGAATGGACAGCACTATTTCAGGTTCCATCAACCACAGAAGTACACAGAAATCACCCTCCTGACCATCACAGCCTGTTCAGTGTAAGAGCAAAGCAGAAACAGAGAACAGAAGTTCATGCACCTGTCCTGTAAGTATGTTTTTAACAAACTTAATCCCATCCCATAAATAAAGTGTACCTGGGTTCTACACCTTACCATTGCATCCTCTATAAGCAAACATCTGTATTTGTTCAGCATAGCCTGCGTCCTCTTCAGAAGCTGTGTAGCTACAGATTCAAATTCACTGTCCACTAGAAAGAAAAAGTACACTTTCAAATATTGTTCTTCAACAACCTGCACAAATTTTAAAACATTCCTTTTCCTATTGCTGTAATTTACATTAAGGATTCTCTCAATACACTGATTACAAACTTATTGCCAAATTTTAAAAAGAGAATTACCTTTCCTTAAATCTTCCTCTGTTGGCAGTGATCCCTGGCACACATGGTATGAAAGGAGTCTCTGAACGGCATCATTTAATGATCTGAACCGACTTTTATCTGGTGTCACAGCATGTACCTGATCCTTCTGTAATTGCTGCAGAATACTACAAAAAAAATTAATGATACATATTTAACATACTGTACAGAGTTCTTACACTGACAGAAAGTATAAATTAAGGTTTCTGCAACAAAATTACAATGAAAAAATTACTTACAAAGCTCCTTTAGTTAACTGTTTAGCAGCAGGCCTTTTTTGTCCAACTAAATGACCATCAACCTAAGTTCAAAATAAAGGACAAATTACAATATATCCCCTCATTTGCAAAGGCTAAGTTTCAGGATTTGTTTCTGTCAGTTAGATATATCACCAACACTAACTGTAACCACCACATAAGTATAAACACTTTGTATCCACAAAATAGGGAAGTGACATAAACCAAAGTTCTGAAAAACTGTTCGCAGACAAATTCCACTGTTACGCATTATATATATTTCACTAAGAAAGACATGATCAAATTTAACAGGTGCGAAGAAGGAAAGGTACAACTGAAAACTTTTACAAATAAATCTGCTCATACAAACTGTCTGCATGTTTCAGAAGATGTCATCTTGCCTGATATTGATGGATTAGAGTATCTGTGAAGAAATCAGGCTAAGGCTGTGCACTTAAATTCTCAAAAGCCACAGTGGCTGGGGGGGTGATAAAAGTCATTCTAGGAATTCTATTTCAGGTAGAGTTCTAACTTATTTTCTCCTCTGCTTATACATTTAATGAAATCAAGATTTTTCCTGGCAACACTCTCCTAAGACCTGAGGCTCTCGGAGAGGGTAAAGAATCATGGCAGGCACACTGGAATAGTATTTGCCTCAAAAAGCCTCCAACTTCAGAGCATAAAATACAGTCACCACCAAGCAGAATGAACACCTGACCATCTATTACACAATCAGGCTGACCTCCTAGCTCAGCACTACTGTACCTTCTGCTCTACTTGTACATCAATAAGACACAGGAAACATTCCTGTCCTACTGCATTCACAAATACATTTACAAGGAAAAATTCAAAGTCAGATCCTCTCCAGAAAAACTCATTCTGGACAGTGTTTTCGTACATACTTGTGTTATGTGGGAGAACTTTTGATGGTAAAAAAAGAAGACTGCAGTAAAGAATCAAACAAAGACCAGATGGAACTTTCCTGCTACTTCTCACAAACCATTCTCTCCCAATCAGCTAGAGAACAGCTGAGTTTGTAAGAAATAATGAGTAGGCCAACTCAGTGAAGAATTGCTGTGTCATACAAAATCATCTTCAGGGAACAGTACAGTCAGGCTCCATTTCCTGAACTGAATCTGAAAGCAGCATTCAGTGTATCAATTTGCAAAATAATCAACATTTATTGTGTCAAGGTAGAATTTGACAAGTTTGAGGGAGTTCATGTACTCTACAAAAAACCTACAATTATTCCTTACTTGTTTGCTCACTACCTCCTCCCACCCTAGCGGAGAGGAGAATTAGGAAAAAAGTAAACCTTGTGGGTTGAAAAGAACAGTTTAAAAAACAAAAGAAGAAACAAAATAAAATAATATAGTAATGATGGCTATAATAAAGTTGTAATGAAAAAGAGAAAAAGGGGGAATTCAACCAAGGAGAAACAAGGGATGCAATTGCTCAGCACCCTCTGACCAATCCCACCCCATTCCCAAGCAGTGATCAGCGGCTCACAGGCAATTCCTACATTTATATGAAGAACGTGATGTTCCATAGTATGGGATATTCCTCTGGCCAGTTTGGGCCAGCTGTCCAGGCTCTGCACCACCCCACTGGCACAGCATGGGCCACTGGAAAGGCCATGACTTGAAGAGCAAGTACTGCTCAATAGCTAAAATACTGGTGCATTATCAATATTGTTCACATCCCAAATCCAAAACACAGCACTGTACCACCTACTAAGAAGAAAATTAACTCCATCCCAGCCAAAACCAGGACAGACAGGGAAACATAAATAGAAGTATTCTCTACCTGTATACTCTGCTGAACTGATGATCCTATCACTTTTTCTTGTGGCTGTGCTGTTACTAGAGACTGTTGTACGATTTTTCCTCCAGAGTCCTGTCCTATAAAACAAAGTTAAAAAGATTCTTATCATCCTAAACAAGAAAAGAATAATTTTGTGTACCTATCCTGATAATTTTACTTGAGTTTTTAGAAAAGATACATCTTCTGCTTAAAAGCATTAGTGCAACTATCCTGTGGAGAAACCAGCTCATAAAATTTAAACAGGATTGATATTTTGTCCTGAAAACCACAAAAATCCTAAGATATAAATCCCACCTCACCATGGTACTGCGACATAAGAAGAAATTCAAGTATTGTAACTTCAGTGTCCCAACAACTTACCTAAAATCATACAGTAAATTTTATCAAGCTTTTCAATACTAACCCTCCCCTCAAGTGTATTACCCAAATTTTTCTAGAGCTCCTGAAAGTACTTAAGACAGCAAGCATATTTTTTCCCCTAGATTTTTTTAGATAGGCAGACTTCTTCCAACTGCCTTGCTTCATAATTCAAACAGCATCTTACCAGTCATGCTACATTACAACCAAAACAAGAATTTATCAGGTTTTTTACTCCAAAGACACCCAGCATACTGTGCAGATTCTATTGAATTGCATGGACAGCTTATACATAACAGTACACAAGGAACAAAAAAAGCAAGGTAGAATATAGCACCTTATTCAAGAGGTTACTTATGTACAGAGAACAGGAAGGTTACTCCATTTTTCTGCTTGTCTTGAATGTACTGGTTTTGTTCTTTCAGTAGCACAGTGCTGCTTGAAAAGCTGCTATTTTGCCATGAACAATGCATGAACTATTCTAACTCAAAGTGACACATTCAAGAACAAAGTGAGTGATGACCGCCTGCACACAACCTTGTAATACCTATTTCTCTTCCCTCTGTAACTGAAGCAGCTACTAGATTCAGCATTCTGGAAGTTTCATGGAATTTTAGCAGATGTCTGTGTTTTGAAAATTACATATTTCTATTTTCCTAAGCTGAAAAAACAAAAACAAAACAAAAAAAAATAAAAATGAAAGAAGGTACAATGTTGGATTTTACAGAGGGAAGAAATAATCGCTAACTGTGAAGATTCAACTTTTCACTCTAGAAAATAATGTGCCATGGCTGGGAAAAGTCGAAGCATACATTCAATACTGAAAAAAATTAACTTTAATTCTTCTAAAAATAAAATTCCAACAACCTTTAGAACACTGAGCATGAGGCATCAATGTAAGTCTGACACAGTGAAGAAGAACAAATCTCTGTTGCTGGAGAAAATTAAGAAAATTATGTTAAAAAGACCTTAGTTGACCTGATAGTGTGTTGCTCAGAAGACTTGTTAGCTGAGGCTGTCTCAAATTGTCCTGTGTCTTCGATGCAGAAACTGGCGATGTCTGGTTCACAGCCTTTTTCTGTGCCACATACATAAAATAAAGAAACAAATTTGTAAAAAATCACAGTGAAATAATTACTGGAAGCTTTAAGAAAGAACAAGGAAAAATTTATCTCTATGTATTAATTAATTACTTTTTTAACTTCAAACTCAGTGGTGAAATTTCACATCTCAATCCCTCCAAGCTCAAGAATTTTATAAAGTAAATCAGAGAGGAACAGAAATTACACTAACAGCACAAATATATACCAGTTGCATTCTACAAGACCCCTGATTTCCCACTACAAGTGCCCTCAAAAAATGCAGCTTCTCAGAGTTCCGAAACTGCAAGATGAGGAAGTTGCTTTCCCAACAAAAAATACCCACAGTGGAACAAACCCTGCATTGCTTAGCAACTACATGATACATGATTTAGTACAAAGTACAATGTTTAAAATGAAAGTACAAACAAACTAAAAAGATTCTGGCAAATAGTCACATTTGTTCTCTGTAAGTTCCCATTTACAGCTCTGAAATTTCAGCACAGAAACAAAATTATCTACAGCAATAAGAAATACTCTGCTTTTGTAACTGCTGAAACTCACTGACCCAGCACATAACCTGCAAACAGGAAAATGTAGACACATGAAGAGAAAGTCAGACAGGTCTCAAATTACCCATCTGCAAACAAAATGTTACAACCTGCACCAGAAGTCCTGGCAAAGACTACAAATGTGTTTCTACAACATGTTCATACTGATTTTATAAAAACACATTATTTTCCAAGACATTATTTCACTGCAGATTTTGGGTTCAGTTAAAAAAATCCATCAGGCTTTCAAAAAAAAGAGAAAAATCTAAGTAAAATAAGTAAAAGAAAAATCTAATTACTGAAAATGCATTCAGAGAGAGTGACCAGTATTTTAAAATGGAAAAAAAAAAAAAATTAAAAAAGGACAGAAATTGAATTGTTTGCTGCTAATTGTGTGAAAAGTCACCGAGTTAAAATTGGCAGTTGACTCTGAAACTTTATGAATTTTTTTCTTTTAAACTTTTGATTGTTTGTAAGTTCACTTATGAAAACAAAAAAATTTGAGTTGAATATATACTGCAAGTATACCTACCAGACAAAATAGACCACATCAAACCTTAAAAATGAATTCACTTTTTAACTACTAGCTTGACTTCTTAGAGGTTTGTTGTGGGTTTTTTTTGCTATGCTTTTACAAACTGCTTTTAAAAGTACTTATTTTTAAGGATTAAGAAACATTTCTTGTCCTTGCATCAAATTTGAAAGCTTCTAACTGCTGCAGGTACACATAATAAAAGCGCCAATATGATAAATAATCAAAGGAAGCCAAAGAAATCTTTTAATCTCTAATTTCAGTAAGTCAAACTTGAATGCACAGGTTTTAGTAAGGTCAAAAGACTTAAATGCTAAGAACGAACCTGAGCCTTTACACCTAGCCTATGGTAAGGTTTACAGGAGAGCTCGCAATTATATAAACTTACAATGCCCATTCCTTTAAACAGGAGCAGAAATAGACTGATGCTAAGCACTTCTGAAAGTAATACTATAAATCACCAGCAAAATCTTTGAAATTAATCAAAGTGACAGTTTTTCAGTCAGTGACAGATATAAAAAACACCAAGTGAAAGGATGACCCTGGGTTACAGTAATTTTCAGCAGTTCCACAGTATTTGTAATAATACAAACCAGCAAAATTAATATTCTGTGTATTGACCAGATTTTAGCACAGCTTAGAAGCCTTTCTTTGGTTACATTCTCAAGCAGCTTTCATACCTGACCAAAGGCAAACTGTTGTTGTGTTACTCCCACAGACGTGTGATTAAAGGTGCTGACAGACTTGGAGGAGGATGCTGGAAGACGATGCGATGCACTGACGGCAACTTGAGCTCTATTCTGGACCAGCTGATCTCCTGTAAAGTTCCCTCCCGATGCGACAGACTGAACTGATGCTCCCAAGCTGGGGTGTACTGAACCAGAAGAACTCGCAGCAGCAAATCGATTAGAAGCTGACATATTTGAGACTGTGGACTGCCCAGGTGACATGGTGGTAAAACTTGATCTGCCTTGAGAAACATTAGCTTGGCTGGGTGACAAATGCAACACCGTTGGTGACGCCTGCTGCAGTGGCACCTGCCCACCAACAATTTGGGAAGTTCCATGATTTACTATAACTTGGTTTCCAGGGGCTGTGAATGTCTGGCCTGAAACAAGCTGAACAGCTGTGTTCTGATTATTCAGCATCTGTCCTGAATACGACTGGTTGGCTCTTAGCATGTTTGTAGAGTTCCTGTTGAGCATTACATGCTCAGCAGACACTTGGCCAGGAACCAGCTGGGAAGGCTGAGTCTGAAGAAGTTGTCCATTTATGGTCTGGACATGATGAACAGAATTAGAATTAACAGACAAACTAGTAGGTATGAGAAACTGGTTTTGAGGTGCATGAGGCTGTCCCATAGGGGAATGGATAACAATACTACCTCCAGCATTGCTAACTGTCTGAGGCGTAACTGATTTTCTTGTATTTTGTTGTTGGTTAACAATATTAACAGACATATGAGGACCAACTACCGAACTTTGAGGTGAGTTTGCAGAAGCAAATGGAATCCCTTGCTGTACATGATGTTGCTGTATTCCCAAGTTATTCACATTGTAAGCAGTCTGCTGACCCATCTGAATAGGCTTTGGTTGGATATTAATAGGAACTTTGTTAGAGTTTGGTGCCAAACCCCTTTGAATGATGATATTATGGACAGGCAACGAAGTCTGAAAATTTGTGCTGTTAAATGGAACAGTTACGGGTTGTGCTACTGGACTTGAATTTGAGTTACTGAACAGCGAGTTCCCATTTGGAGTTTGTCTATGAACCAAGAGGCCACTGCTCATGTTTGCAGGTGTTTGCTGACCATTGCCTTTCAGTATTATCTGAGATCCATCGAGGTTATTGATGGTCATCATGGAAGGTTGATTACTAAATGAACCAATCAGTTGTATCTGCCCAGAACCACTAATCTGGCTGCTATTAGACAAATGCTGGCCGGGAACACTAATTCCAACGTGTTGCATAAAGCCATGTTGCACACCGACTGTATTGCTTGCAAAAGATGCTCCAACAGGTTGCTGTACCACTTGAGTAACTCCTATAGGTTGCAATGTCTGACCTGAGTAATTAGAAACATTAGAAGCCTGAGTAAAGGATGCTGATGAAGAAGGATGAAGCTGAGCTTGTGCAAACTGTTGGCTAGAACCTACACTGGCATCCAAATATGCCTCTTCCGCCAAAGTCTGTTCAGTAATATTGGCCTCCTGTAAGGACTTCTGAAGAATATCAAAAGGCTGATCCTCAGTAAGATCAGGTAAAGGAGAAGACACAAGTTCATCTTCAAGAAACTGAAGGCTACTGGACAGCTGCAGTCCATCACTAGGCCCCTCTCCAAGCTGACCACTTACACCTTTTACAGACGACTTAGGATCAGTGTTCTGAAATGCAAAACAAAAAATAAATCACTTTCAGAAATTCCAGTATCTGCTTTGTTTCCTTGTCAGTTTTTTCATGAAAGCAAACTTTCAACACAGAATTATACTCTTCCCATAGCATGTGTGGGGTGATGTTGACTCCATAGAGTGAGCCAGCACAAACAGGTCATGGATATCCTGCTCACACCCTCAGACTGCTGGAGACACTTCTCTCCTTTCCCTTCTCCAATCTCTCAATACACAGCACTTAGCTCTGCAGCTGCACTGTTTCAAGAGGACATGAAACGTTCTCTAAGTGCCATTTTCCCTTCCTTGAGCTGAGCTCTCTACTGACAAAAAGATGAAAGAAATGAGGAGGGAAAACACCTCCACTCTAATTCAGTTTGGTGCAAGGCTTCAGCAGCAACAGTAGAAGCAGAGAAAAGGCAGAAGAAACTGACTTCTATCAAACAAGATCTGCCTCCAAAAATCGTACCAGCATTTCTATAATCACTTAGCGTAAACTAGTGACCACTTGATAATGTTAAGGCATTATGCTAATTCCTTCTTTAAAAAAATACAGAACCAATTCTAAAGAGTTGGGGAGTAAGAAAAAAAAAAGTGTTACAGACTGTGGTTTATGCTCATAAAAAGATTACTGAGAACTATAAACATTGGAACTACCAGAAATATTATGTGGCACCTTTAATGAAAAAAATCCTTAAATCTACATCCATTAACACTGTGATAAGGAAAATCAAAACCTATTTACTCTGGCCTACTGTCAAGATTTTCCTAAAACAAAGTTCTGTCCAGAAACAACACAAGCACTAGGTTTCTGCAGGCAGAATGAGAAATTTAAATGCATACTAATAATACTTGCAATAGTTTGAAGTTAGGAAAAGTACACCTTTATAAATTGCATTATCACAACTATTCAGAAGCAACAACCAGTTGGTTTTTTTAGGTCAGGATAAATGGAAACTTTGGGTGTGCACTTATCAGTCACATTCATACTCTGAGCCTTCACTCCTTGAAGGTCATAGACGCTTGTTTCCACCTCAAGTAAACAGTGTGAAGATGCTGCAAGCCATAATTATCACATGCACTGATGTCTCCACCCTAACTTCAGTTTCCCAAGCATATTTATTCAGAATTTTACCCCAATCTGTTTCTGAAAAAATCTGTGTACTTTCTGAAACTTCAGTCATATTTTAAAATATTAGAAGATTTTTCTTAAGAGTAGATAAAATATTTTCAAATTACAATTATTAAACTACAGCAAGCCTTTAACATTTATGTTATTAACAGAGGAATCAAACCACCGCTTAAATATCTTAGTGTCTGAATCTTAGGGACAACTAAAGCTACAAATCAGGTCCTTAGTTGTACCTAGCAACCATTGGGCAGAGTAAAAAGGAATCACTAATTAGGCCATAATTAGGACTCTTAACTGCCAGGTTCTGAGGAGAATTCCCTATTGCATCTCTAAGTTGTCTCCAAGGAAATGACCAAACTGAAATCTTCTACAACTGTGTAACTTAAACAGTTCCACTAACACTATTCTAGTTAATACAAACAATATAACTATTACTACTACCAATAATAACACTAATAAGTAGTATTACAATGCAATCAAGACCAATAGCTTAAAACTCTCCCACTGGAATAGAGAATTGCAAGCTTCATTCCCTGCTCCCAGAACTACTCTAACATTAAGAAAACAATTTTATATGCAAAAACTTGAACTTTCCAAGTTAGCATCTGAATCGCTACTATCCAGATTCAGAAGAGCCATGCACAATACCATTCTAATTTCAAGAAGAAATCAAAGCCTCTGCAGCTTCATGAACCTGCTGACCAACAAGAAAAGTCTTAGTCTCACTGGCTCCATGTATATTCTACCCTCTTATGCTGTCCTATTCTACTGTAACAGGAGAATGAAAGCAGCCACCCACTACAAGCCAGGTGACATGACTAGGGAAGCCTTTCATGACAACTGCCACAAGAAACCAACCTGTCATCAGCTACAGACTCAATCAACTCAGGGAAGGCTGGGATGAGGCATGGGAGGCAGTGTAAGAGAGTGGGAAGAGTGAATAGTGCTTTCTTTTCCTTTAGTCAGCAGGAACTTCATCTTGTGTTAGGTACTGGCAGAGCATGCTTACCAGCTGAAACACTGAACCCTGAACACTGAATTTGTAAACTCTGCCCCTTAAAAGGCATGGAACAGGCAGCAAGACAGTTAATCCTAATTCACAGTAGCAATTCTGAATATATATAAGGACAGAACTTTCAGTATCTGCAAAAACTTGAATGACAAAAGCTTCAGAAGCATGTAACTTTTCAGGTATCTCATTTTTTATAAGCAGGGACTGTGAAACCATCTGTTCATGGTAACACTTTGTTCCTTCCCAATGAACTGTAACAATCTGTATTTGTAATCATATCATTCTTCACTTATGTCAGCACAGGGGTCTCACAGGAGGGAGGAGGGAAGAGAAGATGACATTGGTTTTCTTTATGAAGATATAAAAGGATGAGGACACGGCATGCTGAGAATTAAACTGTAGTATATCATCCAAGGAATATACACTAGGAATCCACGCTCCTCTGATCACCTACCTTCTAGATTACCTACCTCCAATCTCATACACCAGAAAGCTCTTGGCTTTCATCAAATATTTTTATTTCTTCCAACTGCTACGCCCTAGGCAACAAATCCACCTTGTCCAGAATCTCCCACTGCCCCTCAAAATTACTCAAAGAAAGTCACTTCCTGAAAATACATCAGAAACACCTGACTCCTACCTACCAAGGCAAACTCTTCAGAAGGATGTCTACAAAGAACAACTAGGAAATCTAGGCTATGACAAATGTATGTCATATGTCATCCTTTTTTCCCCAAAGCTGTTTTTTCTTAGGATAAGTCCTCAAACCTCACCCCTGCCAGTGCTGCATATAGGAAGCTGCTGTCTACTAATAGCTAGCCTGGTACCAAGTTGAAACCACTGTTCCCCATCAGCTGAAAACTGGGTATCCCATTACTCTTGGTAACCTACTCCACCACTATATCAAGTAGATTGTCTGTTTCTTCTACAATATTTAATAATAATCCTGAAAGGGGAAGGACAGGACAAACACTTCCCATTACACTACTGTGCCTACAGGAAAGTCACTTGCTCTCCACACACAGATTAATACTTTTCAAAATTTGTTCACATCAATTATTTAAGGTCCCTACACAACTATAAGTGTATCCATGTAGCTGTTATGAATATGGGACAAACAGACAAGAGTCAAGGTAACAGTACAATAGAAAGAGGAATTACCAAGAAAATCCTATCTCATGTATTCAAATAACTTAATTGGGGGATTAAAAATTCAGTTGTTTTAAAAAACACACCAATGAAAGCACAGAAACGTGGGTCTGAAGGGGTATCTTAAGTCATCCAGTCCAATGCTCTACTCAAAGCATGACTACCACTCACACTAGAGCAGATCAGCCTTGAGTTTATCACCAAGGATTGGTGATAAATCAATCTACAACCGCATTGTGTAAAACAGTCCAGGGCTGCAATACACTCCTGGCAAGAAGGAACACTGAAGACTTCTTGCAACACACAATGAATTTAAAGCGACTTCCCTACTACTGAAGTTACACGAAGGACACATCCCAAATGATCTCCTGAGTGCAAAGAAAAAAATACAAAAAGAGAAAAAAAATCCCACTCAATTTTAAAAATCTGCCAGCTCAGAGCCTACATAAAGTAAGAAACAAAAAGGCATTCTAACATACACAGGAAACATATGAATTACTAACTTTCAAGGTCTATCTTTGAACACAACTACTCCTACAATCACTAAAGCCGTGAGTGCAGTTTACTGGTGAGAGCTTTTACACCAGAGAGCATTTTCACTGCTCAGCAAGCTGCTTTACATATTTACAAAACACTTCCCAATAGTGCAGTATTTTTCAATTAATTCCCCACTGAAATACTCAAACTACTAACAGCACAAGATAGGTTCTATGTTACTATTCAGAGTTTTCACATGAAAAAGCTGAAGCCCACATCTATTTCATTTGATTTTATAAAAGCCAAGTAAAGCCATACAGAAACATGCAATCTCAATACTAATGAAATTTATCTCCTGACAACTTACGTTGGAGTTGGCGAAAATTGAATTTGAGTTGGCTACAGAATATTCTGCATTAGTCAAGTCTTCATTGCTCTGGTAAAAGACAAAAATCATGTTCAGAACTAATACACTCAATGAAGCTTATCTATGTCTAAAATACAACAATGCTACTTACAGATTTACTACTAGGTCCATGTAGAAAATAATTCAGCGCTTGCGGGTCCCTGAAAGGTGGAAAAAAATAAAGAAGTTAACACTTTTTGGAAGTCCTTTTTACCAATAAGGCTAATTTAACTAAGCCACATACTGTACTCATATAAATCAGGTTTCTAGTAAAACCACATCTTTCACTGAATCCGATGCAAAGTTGAAAGTTCGTACCATCTGGGGACATGTGTTTCTGTATCAGCACAATTTCCAGACGCTGACCATATCTGCTGCCATTCTAACAAGGCACTTCAAGCAAATAAACTACCTTGATCACAAAATTTTAGTTGCACTCTACTGTGTTTCCCTTTATGAGGGTGATACTCATACTCTCTTGAAAAACATTTTATTTTATGACAGCACACAATACAAAACGTAAGGAATACACTACCACCAGATAATGTGAGAACTGGAACAGGTATCACCTCTTCTACAGCTAAACTGTAATGCCCAGTTTAGCTAGCATCTAATAATAGGGTATTTACAAACCTGATTCTTTGACAGGTTTTCTGCCACCTTTAACACAAGCTAATAAAAATTTATGATTGCCAGAGTAACAGTCCCCTCATGAACAAAAAGTGGCACCTTTTCCAAGTGAAACCAGCCATAGAAATAACTGACTAAATATTGTGAATTTCAGTGTATTTAATTAACTTAGCATTAGCACTAAATAAAACTCATATTAAAAATGTAGTCTGACAGAGTGTCAGAAATTCAAACAAATACATTAATTTAGATGTACATATAGACCAAGAAAAAAGAATAAAAGGCTGTGTTACATGGGATTATTCTAATGCAAAAATTATACAGCATTTCCCCTAGCATAAAGAGTAAACTGACATGGATTTCTTTGATTTTTAAAACATGTTTATTAACAACTAATAATAAAACATTTTTTAGAAACAGGAGACTATAATGAAAAAAAGCTGTAATTAAAAATGTCTCCTTCTTCCTTGACGGTCTTAGAAAATAAAGAGGCATAAGTCAAAGATCTTTAAGGGTCACAACTGCTCTTCTAAAAGGATAAGCACACCTCCTCTTTTCTTTTAAAAAACAAACTGTGTTCATGAGCTTACAAAGGACATGTTAGACAGTGCTTCATTTTCTGGACCACCTGTGGTCTTTTAGCAAGATCCTCATGCTTCATGCTCATGACAGAGCACTTAATTGTCCCACAATCATCGTTATGTTCCAAGAAGGAGCTGTTTTCATATGGCCACAATCAGTAACCTTGAACAACATTTACTTCACAGAATATAACTGAGCCTTTACTGGCACTTCTTTTGCTACAGCATCCAGAGCAACCCTCAAACTACAGCAGCCAGTGGGGGTGCTGTTTTGGTCTTTCTGAAGTTAAAGCTCTTACTGATTTCACTAAAAGTTTTCAAGTGTGTAAGAAAGGTAAAAAGCCTATTTATTTCATACACTTAAGACACTAAAAAACTCTTGTGTGGAATAGGAATGATCTTTTAGCAGCTGCTATGAGACTGATATTAGTCTAATTTTTAGAAGAGTTTGAACAAAGTATCGGGTATGAAAGCTCAATTCTCTTCTTGTGTTTTACATGCATTTATAGCATATTATCTGTTTTTGAATACTAACACAAATGGTAGCCAAAGGAAGGCAGCTTGTCATATACACAATCCACACAAAACTTCCTCGTGCTTCAGCTATCCTAATTATTTTAGGCTATAGAAATTATAAATATAATTATATAAATATAAAATTATAAAACTCCATATAAATCTGTTACGGAAATAAGGAGGGGGGAGGTGCCAAAAAAAAAAAAAAGCCCCAACAACCCACATGATCATTCCAAATACCCAATTTTATTAAAATCAAGTATCCTTGACCAAAATGCTGGTAAATTCTCATTTACTGTGACTATACAACAGTACAGAGAGCTATTCTTTTTTCCTAAGACTTAGATTCAAATGTGTATTATTAGTAGAAATTAAATCTTTAAGTATTTATGATTAAGAAAAAAGTTCTACTTGTCCCTTAAAATACAAGTACAGTATTAATAAATTATCTGGTTCCAGTACTCAAAAAAATTGAGATTTTTGGGGTTTTGATTTTAAGAAAGCTACTGGCAGTGAAGTTTGTAGTAACATCCCTAGTAACATGCATCAACACTGATCTGGTATTATCACTACCTAAGAAGAGAATCCATTCTCCATGAACACACATTCCTTAGCCTCTCCTGAGGAAAATGTCAGTGTACTGTCAACTAGCATCCATCAGGACTGAAGGCTTTGCAATCCACACATCTCCACATGGAAGACATGAAGCATGTCTGCTCATTTCACTGCAAGTCACCTCATCTTTAGAGACAAGACAGAATCACCTTCTAGATGGTGATTTTGCAAAATTATTATTCCCAACTTTTCTGCAATGATTCTTATGGAAAACTTACCCAATAAGATCAAGGAGACAGGATTCATCATCATCATCATCCATGACAACTAGAATAAAGAAGAAAAGGATGTCTATTTGATATGTATCTCCAAATCAAATTCAGTCACATGTAAAGATTTCCAAAATCCTATGCAATGTTTTACCATCCAGAAGGTTTTTAGAATTTTAAATCAGAGAAAGACAAATGATTAACCAAATTGATTTAAAAGAACTTTTATGACAAAATAGTAAAAATATCAACACTTAATGCAATCTAAGACTCCAGTTAAAATGCTTCTATAGGAATTTATTCCCAGCTAATTCCAGTGGGGGAATAACCAAACACTACAGAGCCAACAAAGGCTGTTACAAATTAGTGGCAGTAACACTGAGCAGCCGAAAAGGTAAATAAACTTAGGTCAGTATCATGAGGATGCTGCTACAGTCTAGAACCAAAACTATAGTCAAGACATGACTAAGCATTAAAATAAACACTGTTTTCTAATAAACCTTTTTTAGCAATAACCAAGTTACAACGTGGCCACTTCCAGTTTCTCCTCAGCAATATTCAGGAGTGTACTTAAACGTGTGTTTAACAGTACAGAGTTCTGACACTCCTTTTAACAATGGGTAAGGAGGAAATTTATGTGCACTGCCCAACCGGAGGGCAAGTATCCAATGCAGAGCATTTTTAGCCTCACAGTGTCACAACCGCTAACTCCTCACACACTACCTACTCCATCAAGGACTGCTGCACCAAAAACTCTCACACTCACTTTTCCCCTCCAACTGCTGTTCCTTCAAAGCTTCTTTTGCACAGAAGTTTGTTTGTTTTGTTTGATTCCTAGCTTCCTTTAAATTACCTAATTTCATCTTTACAATATTTTCTACTCACACCAAGTTGATCATTGCATTCCATGCTTGTTTTTTCTCAACTTCACTTAAAAATTGTGCCATCATACTTATTCAAGTGTTTTAACACAGTTTTGGCTTTAATTCATTCTGCTCTCTCTCTTATTGCTTGCCAAATAGAAATTTACACTCCCTGACCAGAGATCCACATGAATCATTCTTCATCATGATCCCCCATAATGATTAAAACAGTGAAGGGTCTGAAGCACCTGCTATACAAGAGACTGAGAGCACCAGGACTGTTCTGCCTGAGGAACAGAAAACCATGAGGGAATCTATGTTTTGTATAAATACCTGGTGGGAGAGTGTTAAGAATATTGAGCCAAACATTTCCCGGTACCCAAGGAATGAACAAGAGGCAAGGGGCACAATCAAAACACAATAAACCAAAAATTCTGTGTAGACAAAAGAAAACACTTTCCTTTTTTAAAACTCTGAGGGTAGCCAAATACCGGCACTAGTGTTTCAGCAAAGTTATGGAGTCTCCATTCTTGGAGATACACAGGACACAGCTGGACCACAGCCTTGACCTGCCTGCTCTGACTCTGAGCAATCTGCTCTGATTGAGTCTGCTCTGGGCAGGATAGGGGATAACGTGATCTCCAGATATTCATTCCCACCTTGGCTGTCCTGTGATTCTGTAACCTCTTTCCTGAATTTTTTCTATACTCCACTGGTTCTGAAAATAACTTTTACTGTAGACTAGCAGAGGGTACCGTGTCCTCTATACTGCAGAGCCTCATTTGGATTTTTTCTGTCTCTGTGCTTTAGTTTACAGTGAGGGTGAAGCAGAAATGGAGCACATGTCAGTGTGACGACCATTCAGTATCACCTCACAGGGAGGACAGAAAAACAAATCACAGCTACAGAGAATTACCTCTAGCTGATGCCGAAAAAAATCAGCATTCATGATGTGATTATGCGTCTTAAGAAAAGCAATTTCTCCCACGCTTCAGTGTTCCAGCTGCCTACTCTTGCATAGAGCCACTAGCTTGAGCACTGATACTGCAATTCAACACTAAGCAAACGGTATGATGTGGTATGATGTCATGAAACTTAAATGTAAATGTGTATTACTAAGAACAAATTAATAAGCAATTAACATTCTGCTTTAACTGTACTGATAGTACTACTTATAGAAAGCTATTATTTCCTCTAACTGCTGAAAGCATACCCATGTCTCAAGAACAAGGTCCCAAAGTCTCTTAGCTAACTATAAGCAAAAATTTATAGAAAGTCAAAATCATCTTTGATTTCACACTGTAAACCTGCTTTTGAATATCCCAACCCAGGTGTCTATGACAATACTGACAGCATTACTTAAACACCATAAAATGTCTTTGCTCTACATAAACAAATATTCTCCATGATTTTATGATAGTAAGGGCTCACCATTAGCTAAAGTGACACCACAGAATTTTCTTCAATTAATACTCCTGGAGGTATTAAAACAACTGGCACAAATCAAGATGAATTTGTTTAGTTCACTGAATTCTTCAAAACTTGCATAGAATGATCAGAGGGAAAATCAAATGCATGAGAATACTGGTGTGAGAAAATCCTAATGGTAATACATAATCTTCACTATCCCATCTATTACTGAACATACAGTTGGCTTTACTAGCTAAATGTGATACAAGAAAAATTTACCCAACATATGGTAAACGCCTACAAGTTTACCACAGCTAATGAAGTTTTATTGTTCCACATGATGCCATACGGTATGGGACATCCCTTTGGTCAGTTGGGGTCTGATCTGCTGGCTGCTTCCCCTCCCAGCTTCTTTCACACCTCCAGCCTCATCACCAGTGGTGCTCTGAGAAGCTGAAAAGTCCCTGACTTGGTGCAAACACTGCTCAGCAACAACTAAAACATCAGCCTGTTAACATTATTCTCATTCTAAATCCAAAACACAGCTACTAGAAAGTAAATTAACTCAACCCAAGTCAAAAACAGAACAATATCCACCCTTTAGTCTATACCAACCTCATCATGCCCAGGTTCCACACTTTCCAATGCATCCCACATAACCACAACCACCTCTCCTGTCTTTTGACATATATGCAGACATAAAGGCCCATAATCTATAGACCATCCCTCTAAGATGTCCACTGAGTTCTATTTCTAAAACATCAGTGTTTTGAGTTGTAGGAGTTAACTCTCATCCTACTGCCAAAACACAGCAATGCTCCAGCCACTAGGAAGAAAATCAACTCTATCCCAGCCAAAACCAGAACACTGCAGGTTTAAATCTTTTTAACTAATGCCTATTTTCAACAAGGATTACCAAACGATTAGTGACCTGTTAATTTCAGGAGAGCAACAGAGGCAGCAGCAAACAATCAGAGTAGTTGCACACCCAAAAGCAAACTGACCCAAAAGCAGTCAGTCTACTTTGAAAAGAGGAATTTGAGCAACATGTGACCTTGACACAGATGATCACTTTAAAGTGTGTTAACAAAAGCAAGCCTGTCCTGAGGAATTTTCCTAAAGCCTTTTCTACAGCAGAAGTGATAGAAAAGTTTGACACTTTTCTTGCCAACTATCCTGTCTAGTTTTCTATCCTCCTCACTGTTTTCTAACATACAGTGGATCAAAGCAATGAGTGATGAATGAAATGGCTATAAACCATATTAAGCCATGAGAATTTAAAAATAAAACCTGCCACAATGAGTGGAGTTAAAGAGTTATGAAGCCAAGACCAGCAGCCCTCAAAACAGGGTGTGTGTAAGAAAATCCAGTGGGACATGCAAGAAGAAAATATTAAAACTTCACTAGTATATGAAATTTTAATACACACACATATACTTGTGTATGCAAATTAGAATACATATATTGGGGGCACACACTCAAAAATCTTACCAATAGGTGTGTGCAATCAAAAATATTTGGAGACCATGGGCCACGACCTTTAAACATTGACTCACTTCTGTATTTTGGATCAGTCTTTGGAGACTTCAGTCAGTGGAGGCTCTAAGTGAGGCCTGGCTGGGCCATTGTGACCCATCAATGCATCCAGGGCCCTGCCAAGAACCCACACTAGAGACAGCTGGGGAAAATACACTTTGGGAAGAGTCACATAACCTGTTGGAGTACTGTTACAATATAACCTAGCAAATATCTAATTATCAATACTAGTCTACAGTGTCTTTAAAAAAAAAAAAAAGCTTAAAAAAATCTGCTTGTAAGTAGGCCAAATTCAGCCCAAATGCGTCCAAATAATTTACAGAGGGCAATCCTCACTAATTAGTCACAACCCAGCACAGATATTCCCTGTAGTTTATTAGCAAAGCCCCTACCATTCTGTTTCATATCTCTGCTACCACACTGGTAAATACAGCATATACTTCAACTTGTATCACATGTACTTATGTAAGAAGCCCTGCCTATCCCTTCTGGGAAATAATCAGAGTGCCCTTTATCACATGCTCCCAAACAGAATATAAGAGAAGTTGAAAGTAATAAAACTGACAAGGAAATCCCAGCCATGCAAGCCAATCCTCTGGGAGACTCTTATTACTTGGCCTTTAAGCCTCTGCCTTCATTTCAACACTCTGACCTACTACGGAGCAAAGAGCAATAGAAGATGAATAGAGCAGCCCTGCCCTCCTCTTGTCCACTTTCCCTGCGTCAGCTCAAGGCTTTGAAGAGTCATCTGGAACAAAAAACTTATCTGATAAAATACATTGATCTGTTTCAACTTAGGATGAGCTTCTTCATTGGCTCTGGTATGCCAAAGGGCCACAGGAGTGCTAGAGCCGGCACAAGAGAGGGAATGAGGTAGATGGGTAGCTAAACATAAGGGGATGGCAGCAGTGCTTCAGTCAGCTTAAACCACATGTGGGGCTGCAGCACACATGTGAACACAACCATCACCCTCACATTAGCACAGTGCAGGCAGCAGTCCCATGGAGTGATTATTCCCTTCATATCAGCACTCATGAGCTCCCATATGAAATCTGTTTGGCTTTTCCACATAGACACAGCTCTTAAAAGAAACACGAAAGAACATGAAGGAGTCCAACACAGTACAAGTAAAATCCTGTGGTCACGTGAAGGAGCTGCCTTTCTTCAGCCTGGGCAACAGAAGGCAAACCCAGGTGCTACCTGCAGCCTGCTAAAAGGAGTACTAAAATGAGCCAGGCAGGTCTCTTCTCATCAGCATACAGCAAGACACAAAGCAAGAGCCAAAACATGTAACACATATAACCCTCAGCTGGATGCAAGAAAAAAAATCACAAACAAGACTGCTCAAGCAAGAAGGTGGAATCATCCACTTTGGAAATTTTCAGAACTCAAAGGGCCCTGACCAACCTGTTCATACTGTGAAGCTTGTTCTGCTTACAGCAGGGAGCCAGGCCAGGTAACCCAGTGGTCCTTACTAGCCTAAATGCTACACAATCCACGGTATCATGCAACACGTGTAGGGCCTACAACCTGTAGTGTCATTAAAACCAGAGTTGCCCAGAAGCAATCCAGCTATTCACACATGCTTCATATACTCTCCATATTCTAAAAGATGTAGACACAGGGTTTTAAATTTACTCAAGTTACATTCAAAAGAATATAGCAAAAGAATTATTTTCCTTTCTCAAAGTCACTTATTTCATACATCTTTAATAGATAGTTTCAGTACAAAGCAATAAAACACTATTTTCACTTTCTCTAAAAAGCACAAGCTAATGGATACCTTAGAAGAGCAACATTTAGAACAATGATTTCCAAAGAGTGTGATATAATCAACATCAAAACTTGGTAAGTCACACATAAATAAATTTATCTGCAAAACCGTTGAAAGAATCTAGACTTAAAAGTTTTGTGCAAATACATGGGATCAATCCCTGACTGGCAGAATGACTCCTGAGAGTGAACACTGACCTTTGGAAATCAATGCTTTAGAGCAAGGTAATGACTGCTGTAGCTTAACCTTTATAATGGGAGATAATCAAACTTGCACACAGTAACATACACAGCACCTGAAGCAATTACTGTTGGAGTTATGACATACACCCACTAATTCTCACTTCAGTACGACTTTGTACACATCCTGTCAGCAGGAATTCTGACAAGATCTCTCTCGTGCTTTATAATGAACCTGTCCTATCAAATCTTCTAAACTGTTCTGTTGCTCTATCATTCTCCATTCAGAATTTTAATCTATGATCCCAACAGTAAGAGTAACTTCACTATGGAATATCTGAAGAAACGCATTGCCACTGGAACAACAATCACTACAACAACAAAACCAGAATGAATCAGTTACTGTAACAGCCACTGCAAAGAATGGTAGTGCTGTGAAGTGAGTTTGCTACACCAAATTGGTGGCATTTTCATCTCTCACAACCTTTCTGAGCACAGATGTAAGATAACTCTATTAACCCAATCCATCCCTTGCTAAATTACATAAGAGGATTGCAGCTGCATTAAGTGACTCCATACTGACTGCAGAGGTCAAATGCCCAGAACTGAAGCCCTTCCCTCACACAAATTTGCACGAATTTCTCTCGTTAATTTCCACAGAATTAATATTTTTCTCAGTGTGCTTCTGAGCTGGGGGAAGAAAGCCAAGCTGTTTCATCATCCATTGGGTAACATATAATCTCAGCAGTGTGCACTTCAGGTTGCCTGCCTTACCCTGTCAGCTCTCTCTCAGGTTCCTATCCAACAGGCAGCCTTGGATTCAGTGAAGGAAACTCCTACACAGGAACAACCAGACCTCACTTGCATTCTCTGCAACACAGAATTGTAAGAAAGGACTATAAACTCAAATACCATACAGTTTATTCTTAAATTTCAAGTCAATACTACTTTTGAGCAATCTAGTGCCTTGCAAAGTGAATTTCAGATTCTTGTAAGTAACCAAGACTGTATCTTATAATTAACTTAAGAGCTGCTCACCATGTCAAGCCCCCTGTTTTCAAGAAATTAATTTTTACATGGATTGAATACAAAAATTGATATTATAAAGTATTTCTATTTCCCCCTCTCATTACTGAAAAAAAATTATATTCTGCAGCATAATGGCACAGTACACACGGGAAAAGAGATAAATATTGAAAAAGTCATTGCAAACTAAAACCTCACTCCAAAGTCACAATTATCCAAAAATTGTCTTTCCAGGACAACAGAGTAAGGAAACAAAATTAATTTTAAAATGCACTTTGTAAAACACAAGGACTTAAGTACTCACTTATAAACTAACTATGCTGTACTTGTAGTCTACAATATGAAATAACTCCTTATGAATATTTTCTTTTCCAGAGCAATAAAAAAAGCAACTACTACGCTGTTGCGAAATCTACCAGGAACTGTGCTCTAAAAGAGAGTTATAGTAAGAATTCTGGGATTCTAATCTTGTAATGCAGTGCATTATACAAGCATTAACTTTCTAAACATACAAAAATAAGTTTTCATTCCAAGAATCTAAATCTGTAAAACTGAATTTAATCAATATTTCAAAGACATCTGTATGCGACAGAGAATGAGAAAAAAATGGTTATTTTCAAAAGAAGGATAAAAAAAACCTTTCTAGGAAAAACTACTCTAAAAAATAGAAACTATTCAGGAATCAAAAAACCAGCAACAAGAAAAAAGTGCATCCTCTCAGGAATTGCTAGGCACAACATTATGCCTCTTCACAGTTTTTAAGATCTGGCAGATGAACACCAACAAGGACAGGCAGGATCCTTTCACAATTGTGAAATACCAGCTCCACACACAGAAGGGCAAATTAAAACCACACACTAAAACAGACAACCTACAATAGGCTGCTTACCCAGCTCCTACATTTCCCTTTAATATGCCATTAAAAAAATACCAATTTGAGTTTGCCAAATGTGGTAACTTATCAAGTTGCCAAAAACTACAGTGTTTAATATGTTAAGAAAAAAAAGGGAAATGTGCAGTTCAACTAGCAGTACGTATGGTAGTGAAGGCTAATCCAGCTACAGTCAATTATATGTGTGAACCCCTAGTGATGCTTTCTACAATCTGATTTCCCTCAAACACACACATTCAGCACAGAATTTCTAATTTATTCAGTACAATCTTTTTCCTACTGCATCCAGAGCTGCTCTTGGCAATCTTTGCAAACCAAAATCTTGACAAAATTTTTATCGGGAAACAGACTTTTTTATACCACACAAAGAAAACCCAGAGTAACCTCAGCCTGAAGGTCAGGATGCTTCCCTATCCCAAGCTAATCCCTATCCTTGGGATTTCCCAAGCTAAAGGCTGGGCTCAGACCTTTTCCCCCAGCAGTGACTATCCTCATCACTATGCTACAGCCTATTTTGGGTTCTGCCTTCCAAGCTTCTCCACCACATAGAGAATTCCTCAGGAATTTCAATATTCATAGAGCTTCTGAAAGGTCTCATGTTCAACCCAAGAGAGGCAAAGGAGGCATTATCTCAACAGTTGGAAGGAAAGGAAGGAAACATTAATCTGCCCAAAAGATAATAGATGCTGTTAAGCATTTCTACAAACTACTGTACGTTATAGTGCAGACTGTTATCATGTATTATTTGTGCAAAACAATAATTCAAGGGGTGTTGAGTCAGTCCCTCAGATGTTTTGACCTCATTTCTACTCAAGAATATTCAAGTGTCATACTTCTCATTCCATGCATACAGTTTTCAAAGATTCTGAAAAAATATTCTGTGGTCCCAGAACAGAACTTCTTTATGAACGGATCATTTCTCAGTTGATTTGTAAAAAAAATGCCCAATTAATACCAATAAACCAGTGCCCTTTTCATTGTCACTCTAGTCCATACTAGTTAAATACCAAACCTTGCCACAAGCATGGTTCATATGAGTTAGCATCTGCTAACAACAGCCAATAATTAGCTGAACAGCTACTTACACTCCTTTCAGTTATTATGTTTGGGAAATCTACAGAAAATTGAACAGGATGAATTGACAGATGTGTAATTACTTCAGCAGTGCAGTCCATATCAACACCCCAAATCCAAGCTGAAAATCCTTCATGCTGTCCTTCTTGAAGCCAATGCCTTGCTGAATGCCAATGGAGATTCTGCCACTTATTTCAGTGGGGCCAAGATAATTTCTGATCATTTCACATCAATAAATTCAAGCTCCAACACTAAATCTTGAAATTCCATGCTTGGATGAAGTTCAGAGTAAAACTACTGCAAACTCCACCTGAGATGAGGCATAAGATCAGACTTTACAAAAATAATTAAACAGTATCTTGCAATTAAGTTAAATCCTTCTCTCCAGACCTTCCCCTCTCTTCATTTCACCACCCATTCTCAGTAACTTCAATTTAGAGAAAGGTTGTTAGGGGTGTTAAGGGTGTTATGTTCTTAAAATGATTTTGCCCGTTTTCTATTTCCTTTGGTAAGGATTCCCTTAACTCTAGAACTTGAAACTAGTGCAAAAAAAGGAATAAAAAATACTTGATAATCTCTCTGTGGTAGTTAATGATGGTAATTTTTATTATGTCTAAAACCTCTACAATTCTCAAATAAAGCAAAAATAATACCAACTGAGTAATTAGGGTTTTTTCCAACAACGAACAGGAACAAATTAACATTTGAAAATAAAGATACACATTCATTTAAGTATGTGATGACCGGGAAAAAAAACTCAGTTCCGGTTGGTTCTTATGCGTTTATGTTGGTGTAACAAAGGCCTTCCCAAAACTGCTCACTCTGACTTTCAAACTGAAACAGTGGCAGGTTACAATGAATGTTAGAACAGTTTATTATTGTCACTGCTCTTCCTCTGCAATAAAAAAGAAAAACACACCCATTTTTGTAGGTAATCCCCATGTCTATGCTGGACTGGGTATATGACAATAAAAAACCTTTCAAGTACAGATGCAGCTTATTCCAGCAGAACCACTGTAAGGAATTCTGCCAGCTCTCTGAACAGTGACTACATTATCAAAGAGGCTCTTATGACTGCTCTGTAGCTAGTACTTAGACAGGAATGACACACTTTCACGCTTGCTGCTACATCCTACCCTAAAAAGCACCAGTCATTAGATTTACCACAAGCCTAATGCAGCATGAAGAGGCACGATCATTGACCATTAGAGCCTCACTGTAAAACCAACTGCAGTTACGCAGATACAACTTCTCTGTGCATGTGCAAATACTCCAGCGAAACTGGAAAGACAGCAGGCAGCACACCCAGGCATGACTGCAAAGCTCTTCAGCTCTAGACTATGGGCTCACCTCTGCTGGAAAACTTCATGGGTACTGAAAGGGACCTTGGAGGAAACTGGAAATGCATCTTATAGTAGCACGACTTTGGGGGCTTCCTCTCAGTATAATTAAACTAAATATATAAACTGTACTGGAAAAAGACATGTGAAGGAGCTGGGGCAGGAAGTCTACACATCCATAAAGTGATGTAAATACCTACCTACAGTACAACCATCTCTGTAGCACTGACTTCAACTGAGTACACACATTTAGCTAGAGCATTTCATCTCAAGGACACAGGTATCACATACAAAGCAAGACCTCAAAATATGAACAAAACAAACACACACCTAAACACCCCAGTATCACACCAGTCAGTAAGCCAAGGTGGAAGCACAACCAGGCTACTGTATCAACATGGTGAGCTTTGCATTCCTCCAGCAATGTAAACAAGCAATGTGCAATGCAATGTGCTACTCACAACAACAGAGACAAACTTTCAAGCTCAGACAGACAAATGCACATTTAAAAACCACAGGTCTGGAATATTTAAGTAGTAGTCAACAAAGATCTCAACCCAAGATGATAATATATTGTGCTTTAATGCAAGCAGGCCAGTAGCATTAAAGGTGCAGATTATATGTAGTCATTTGGCAAGTACTAGGCCCTGAGAGAACATAAAGCGGTCATTTTTATCCCATTTTTTCATTATTTTCACAAATTAATGAAAAAAACACACACAGCCTTCCAGACATTAGAGCATAATAGAAAAATTTTATTATATTAAAATACACTACCATTAAAAGAAAAGTATTCACTACCTTGATCCCAAGATTCCTGTCAACAAAAATAATCACTTCAAGAAGCAGCGGCTTTAATCAAGTAAGATTTCTGAAATATGTGAACTAATACTATATTCCACATTCAAAATATTTGTAAACAATTGAAGTTTCATAAGTGGTGTTTTCTTCAAAGCTAAAATGTTAACAAGTCCCTAGGAAAGTCTTATAGACAGCTTATATCCAGACAACTTTTTGTATATTCTAAGCAATTAACATATTTCGCAGAAATGCTGTTTAAAACCCTTCAATAGGCAAAAAATTTAAACAGCCTTAAGATTATTCCTGAATTTGAAAAAAATCTCCGGCTTCCATCAGGAGTGAGCAATGGGAATAGGGAAGCCCTCCTCTGATGTGTCAAAAAACAAACCCAAGCACTGCACAAGCATTCCACACTCTTTAGCGGGCACAGCACAAGTTGGACTGGCAGCACACTTTGCTCTTTCCAGGTACAGGTGATGTTGGTATTAAAATCGAGCCTCATGAGCTTCAAGCAGATCATACGGAAATGTAAAAAAAAAAAATAAAATTTGCAGTGCTTGTCCTAAAAACAGCACCAAAACAAAACTTTAAAAATATATTAAGGTGGAGCTGCCAAATTAAGTCATTTGGAAAAGACAGTTTGCTCTAAGACATAAAGGAGCAATAAAAACTTGAAAATATGCTAGTCCCTTCCCCCACCAAAAAATTATGAAGACAGGAACAGAAACAAAATGAGCAATCTACCCACGAAAAATTACCTATGCTTTTATTTTGGCAAGCACTTTTAAAGGTACTGAAGCTTCTTCAGTGAAGGATACTTTGCCCTATGCACTACGCCGGATCATTTTTTAAAGGCATATTTCTTTTTTAATGTCATGCTTTATTTTTTGGTCGTCGTTCAGACGTTCTTTCAAATCCCTTTTTAATTCCTATACTCTGAATGACAAGAAACACGGATTTCAGAGGTAGGAAAACAAGGCTATAAAGGACGTTGACGGAATTGAAGCTGCGCGCACGGGCCCGTGTGAGCCAAGCTTGTTTAACCCCTCCTCAAGACGGTGACCAAAGACTAGGAAAGAAGTGTGGGGTACGGGAGGGAAGCAAGGCTTTTAAGATTTCGGGGAGAGGCTCCCAAAGCCCAAGGCAGGAACACTTCCCAGACAATACACAGAAATAAGGCCCGAGCTGGGCGCGACGGCACCGCCCCACACGGCGCGGCGACAGCAGAAAGGACCTTAAAATGGCGCCCGTGGGGGAGGAGAGCGGGTGAAACTGCGCAACAAACGCTGGCAGGGAGCCAGGCAGCGCCATCTTCCCGCTCCCCCGCGCAGCCGGGGCTGCCTGCCCGCCGAGCCCGGGC